ACAAACTCACCTTCTCTGTTACCCTGCTGCAAATTATCTACATACTATTTATCCTACCAGTGTCTCAGTTTGCATGGGTGGATGAACAGTCTCAGATAGACTTATGGATAAGAAAACAACTCAGAACTGCATTCGAATTTACTATCAGTTACCATTTTTGCCAGCTTAGAGTTGTTTTCCCTTCTTAGGAATATGACAAAGTGCATTATCTGAGAAATCCAACAGTCCTGCTCCTTTAATAGGCTTGAAGAGACACAGATTCCATGGGCCTTTCTCCTCTCTTCCCACAGCTGAATTTCTCCCATCCTTTACTTAAATGTTGTAATGGTCTTGCTACTTCTAAGTCAATTTTCCATCAAAATCTTCCATGAGGGCTAGAAAGGACCTAGACAAACAACTATTTCTAGGTTCTGTTCCTTTTTACTAACTATAAAATAAAGGACCCAGTAGAGGTAAAAGCTAAAGAACACTTAAGGGCCAGAAATCAGGCTGCTATTACTAACAGGTGTGTCCTTTGCACAAAATATAAAGCATGTAGGCTCAATGACCACATACCATTTATCTAATCCAGATGTTTAAGAATGAGAGCATCCAGAGAAAGCCAAGCAAAACCAGTCTGGGACTGCTCTTTCTCTGACCAACAGCTTAATTGAGGACTAAAACAAACAGCTGAACCTGTAGCTGGAGTCTAAGGAATCCAATAGGCTCAGAAACACCAAGACCTTTAACTTTGGTACTTGTAAATTCCAAGAAGCAGGAGATTGACCACTTTTTAATTCTGAACATTTGAAAGCCTCTTCAAATTGCATTACTAAAATAGATAGACTAAGGATGGGGGGAATTCATGAGTCAGGATTTCTATGGCTGTCTCAAGAGACTGGTTCTTCATCCTAATAGTTAAAGCTACCAAAACTTCATCAGCTGGCAAGTCCTGCTCTGTTCCACTTTGCTAAAACAAACAAAGAGATTCCACACATCATCCCCAGTGAACGAAGCTCAATCAAAGTATACAGCATTTTACCTTCCCTTGTTTTGATGTGTTAATCTTGATGGCTGATACTTTTCCCACATGATCTCCTACAAAAACTCGAAGGGCAGCTGTATCCCAACACAAAGCTGTGACTTTTCTGCCCTTATGCTCAGAGGAAACATAAATCCGTTCTGGCTTCCCACGACGCTCCTGATTCAGCTCCCAGACTACTACAAGGCCTTGGCTACAAGAAGTTAAAAAGAGAATACAGGCTGAAAATAAGTCTTCTAATGTTTTATCAGTTAATATAGATGCGTTTTCCCAAAGAAAGAGGAGACCCAAGCAAAGCAGCATGCCTCAGAGCTGGTTCTGTTGGAGGTTGCATGCTTTCAGCAAGCGTCACAATTCTGGAGAATAAGTGTCCTTCTTTGCACAAAAATGTATATGCAGCTTTGTAAGGCTATTCTTACAGTTGTTACGCTTGCCAGTGAGGATGTGGAAAAACATTTAAATGGATTTTATGAAATATAAGTGGAATTAACCAGCAATCTCACTCTACCATGTTAATGAGAAGGCTTCTTTTCATGCTGAAAGATCTCAGCCATTTACCATCATAATTTCACAGGCATGAGTTCTGCCATAGATGTTCTGTTACAGAAATAATACTTAACCTAGAATGACTAGTCAAGAAAAAAAAGTTAAGCAAACTGTATGCAGAGAATTATCCTGTAGGGGCCTCTACCAGCTAACCTAAGTTAACTCTGAGTTCTCAGCAGCTGTCCATGTCTGAAACTTGAAGCTTCTTAAAAATATTAAGGTTTGTGAGTAGACCACTCACCTGGTGGCAACAGCAACGTAGTCTTCATCATGCAAACAACAGGCCACCCGGGAAATGGCACCTTCCTGAAAGCAAGCACGGGAGTAAGAGCAGGTGAAACTTGTTCCTGTACTGCCACTACCACTGTGCAGCTTTTATCTTTAACATATAAACCAGATTCATGTCAACAGATGCTACCACTCTGCTGTGATGTGGCTGGTTTTTTACTGTTTGCTTGGGTTTTGCTTGCTAACACTGAGTTTACTCCAAGATGCAGCTGACAACAACACGTTAACGTCAAGAGCAAGGACTGCACTGAGCTCTCTGATTTGGAAAGCACAGAAATCACTCTTCTGTCCTCACACCTTTGGAAGATGTTTTGAGAAAATTAAGTGAGATGCTCCCAGCCTTAAAAAACTGGCTGCATTCATGCTATACTGGAAGCAGCAGTGGCTCCTAAGAAATAGCACCTGGCTTTACAAATAACAATCCCTGTTCCACAATCTCTTCCAGCAACAGCAAGTAGCCTATCATTTTTTCACTTATCCAGGTATATCACAGTGGACACTCAAACACTGGGAGTTATCTACTTGTGAGTTGCTCTGGTTTCATATAGAAAATTTTCTTCCAATCCTTAAATATTCAAATAACTCTGTTGCTGTTGTTAAAAAGTAAGAATTTGAAAAACAAAGGTCTGACACTCTGAAGTAATATTTTTCACAGCTTATGAAATCGAATATACCATACACTGTGGGGATAGCCTCCAGAACCACAACCTATTTTAAACACATCAGTCCAAAACGTCACCTTCTTTGGACGACCCAGTAAGCTGAAGATAATTATTGACTCTTAAAATTTACTTGAAATAATGTTTCTTCCTCAGCCCCATTTTTGGAAATTTTCATTTAAAATTTTATCCTTACCTTGTGAGTGAGAAAAAGTCTTTGCTTCCAACCATCCTTCTGGATAAGGTTCAGTCCTCCTCCTGAGCTGCCTAGAGCCAGCCATCTCTTTGACACATCTATACACGTGCACTGAAGAAATAAAAATCATAATGCATAACCTGGTAATTTCTCATCACAGCATCTTTTTCTTGCATTACTATACTGGGTTTTTAAAAGCCTTCATTGTTTGCCAGCTGTGTGTACCACTCCTGAACCACTGGCAGGGAAGATTATTAAAGAGCACTCTGCAATTGGAGCAAACACCGTAAGCTGTGTCAGGCTTTTACCCACAGCTGCATTAAGGAAACACACAGAGCAACAGGGTCCATTATCTTCACTCTTTCTTCCCAAAGCACTCCCCCTGCTAGGACAGCATGCACACACCCCAGAAAGAGTTAGATTAATCCTATGGCTTAATCAAATAATTAGCCAAATGCAGTAATTACTTGAATTTTTTAAAAATTAAAAAAAAGCCATACACCACAAACTCACCTTAAGACGACTGGAATCCAACCTGAGCGCAGAAAGCAATGGATCCAAACAATCCAACTCTGCCAAGACATGGTTGTAAGAGTCTGGAATTACTGGCACAGAGGCCATGGATGCACACAACTAGTGCTGCTCACTCATAGGCGTGTTACAGCTTCAGCTTTTAGCTGTACCTGCCAAAAATAAAGATCTTGATTAGCTCACTTTTTAGTATTAGGGCTGGAGTTCCACACTTAAAGAAACACTAACTGTTTTCCTCAAAAAACATCAGGTTTCAGTTTGCCAAAAAGAGGTCCAAGGGCTGGAAAATAAGACTCCTGCTTAATTTATAAGAAGTTCTTGTTCAAGTTAATTTCTGAAAACTTAACCTATCAGATAACGCACCTGGAAATATTTAAACTCTAGTTATGTTTACATCTGCCTATGAAACAAGTTAACGTATAGCTACAGAAAACACCTTGTTTTCTGGAAAAATTCATGTTTCCCCACAGCACGCACCCTTGATTTGAAACTAACTTTCTCAAGGAAAACATTTAGCATTGGTATAACTACAACATATTCTCCCCCAAAAGTAAATTTAAAGAACATTATTCTCAAGTTATACTAAATTCAGAATTAGCTGCATTTATGCATTTTGATACAATTATAAGCTATTCTCTCCACTGCATGTCTTTTCCCGCATTCAAGTGATAACACAGAGTGAAAACCAAGAATTAAATAACCACTAAAATCACAATCTCATATTTTTCCTAAGCAGCACATACTTTGAAATAACTTCTCGTTGAGTTTAAAGTTTAAACCTGTACATTGCTTAACAAAACGCTAAACCTGTTACACTGCACAGGCAAGTCCCGGAATTTCTAAGTAACCTTCAGTATGCGGTCCCATAAATTAAGGAACTGCCTCCCAGAAAACCCGTCACGGGAGAAATTCACATTTCCTCAAAAGAAAAGCGAAGGCTCACTCTCACCAGGCACTAGGAAAAGGGAAGAGGCACATTTAGCCAACGAAACTAAAAGTTATTTCCCAAAGCGTCTTAAAAACCTTTATGGTCACTTCTGCCTGCCCGCTGCTCTCTGCCACATCCCGCCTGCGTGGCCCGAGCTCCAGCCGGGGCTGCACCGCGGGGCTCTGGCTCCCGTAGCCGGAGTGAGGCGAAGGATCGCAAAGGGCAGAAGGAGCCCTACCCAAACCGCTTCAGAAACCGCGGCGGGGGGACGAGAGCCGAGAGCCGAGCCCCGGCGGGGCACAGGAAGCACAGGAAGCACCGCTTGATGCTGCTGCCGCCGCTCCGCGCCGCCGCTCCCTCACCGCGCCCCGCGTCCTCCCGGTGCCGCTCGCGCCGCCGCCTCCAAACAGCGCGGCCACGTGACCGCGGGAGGGCGGGGCGGGAGCGCGCGCCCGCTCCGCGCCGCATCACGCGCCGCCCGCGCGGGAGGAGGAGGAGGGGGAGGAGGAGGAGGAAGCGGCGTCACGCGCGCGCACCCGCCCGCCGGCCACGTGACGCCGTGACGCGCGCGGCGCCCCCTCCCTCCCGGCGCGCGGGCCGGGGCCGAGGGGAGGCCCCTCCCCCGCAGCGAGGCGGCGCCGCCGACCCGGGAGCGGAGCAGGACGGGCCGCCGGGGCCCATGGCGGACGACGAGCGGGGCCCGCGCGGACGGGTGACGGCGGGGAACGGGCCGGGCCGGGCGCGGCGGGGATGGGCGCGGGGGCAGGGGGGGGGGGGCGGTGGCGGTACCGTTTTACTGCCGCGTAACTGCCCCCTCCGCCCGCCGCCGTCATGGCGACGGGGGAGCGGCCGCCACGTGACCGGGGCGGGGGCCGGGAGGGGCGCCGGCGCCACGTGACCTCCGGGGACGCGCGGCCTCGGGGCCGCTCCTCCGTCACGTGGCTCGGGCCCCGCCCCCGGCGCCCCGCGGCCCGTTCCGGTCACGTGCCCGCCCCGCCCGCCCCATGGCCCCGGCGGCGGCCGCGGCCCGACCCCCGTAGCGCCGATCGCACTCGGAGCAGCGCCCGGCGCAGCCCGCACGGTAAGAGCCGCCGGCGCGGGGCGCGGGGGAACGGCGGCGCCGGGCAGGCCGCGGGGCCCGGTCCGCCTCACGGCCGCGCCGACCCGGCGATCCGTCCCCGGGGGTGGCGGGACCGCAGCGCGGTGGTGCTGCGGCGGCCTTTGGCCTCCCGCGCTTCCTTCCTGCCCGGCGGACGTGTGACGGTGGCCGGGCCGGAGCTGCGGCGAGGGAAGGGATGAAAGGGGCGGCGGCACCGCCGATTTGCGCTCCCCGGTGCCGCGGGGGGTGGCGGGGAGACGGCAGAGCTGAGCTGGCGGCACCGCGACCGGGGGCACCGGGCTTGGCCCCGCTGCTTGGCCCGGTGCGGGCGGTAGACAAAGAGGTGCCGTGGCAGCGCCTTCCCTGGCTGCTGCCGGGCAGACCCCGGGTGTCCTCGGGCCCGTCTCGGGGCAGGGTGACATCCCTCCCGGAGCGTGAGGGACGCGCATCGGGGGATGGCCGGGCTGGTTGCTCAGGAGCGTGTCCCTCACGACGTGCCCGGGACGAGCGGCACTGCTGCCGCTTCTCCATCCTGCTGACAGATCCTTGCCACGCCGCGGGGCGCTGCTCTGCCCGCTCCCGGAGCTGGCAGCGTCCCTGTGCCGCTGCGGGTCAGACTGGGCCATTGGCACAATATTCCATGATTCTGCTGTTGCCTGCGGGGAGCGGAAGCCCAGCAGCAGAAAGGCCTGCATTGATCTGTCAGAGCTTGCCTGCCAGCCCATACCCACCCTGGCCAAGTCAGGATTACTAAAACGTGCAAACGTTTCCTTTATTTCTGCTCAGAACTCGACACAACCATATGGGAAGAGACTGAAGTGCTGGTAACAGAGAGTGTTCAGAACAGGTGTTGTAAAAAACAGAGATGAGAGGTACAGTATCTTAAAATTGGTTAGGAAGATTCACTGCAATGGAGGAAGGATAGCTGTTGGAATTTGATGGTATTTCCAGAAGCTGTTTGCTCCCACAGAGCTGGGAGGGAAGGGCTTGTAGGTGGATAAGCACACAACATTTCTTTTGGTCAATGCCAACACTGAATCCTAATAAACCTAGCCCGTTGTAAACTGCAGCTGAAATTAACATCCCCAAGAAAGGCCTGATAACAAGATGTACCCCATTGTTAAGGCTTCTGGTTGATCCAAGTGCTTTTAGAACTGTTGACCAAGCTCTGCTGCTGGTGAATTTAAAATAAATTGTCTGACCTTGCTCTTCTGCAAGATACTTGAACCAGCTGCTGGAACACTTAATGCCGAAGAACACTAATGCTGTAGCAGGTTAAAATTATCACTTAAAGCCACAAAATAACAGCATTTCTGTGTGTATGTGGCAGCTCTTGCCCTGTACAGCAGCAGTGTCATCATCCATAGTATTGATTCCTGGGAACTTCAGATGTTAAATGTAGAGGTTATGAAATTTGGGCAGGCACAAGTACATCATTGATGGCTCTCACTCTGCTGCATAGTAAGCCTTACATGCTCAGAAAGAAAAAAAAGCTGAGCTGTGTGTGTGTGCTTTGCTTAGCAAGGATGTAGCCTTCCCTGTAGGAGACAGGGAATGAAATCCTCAAGCAAGATTCTTATTTTAGAATTTTTCCTGTACTTCTTGTAACATGAAGCCATTTTGTTTCTGTTAGTGACAGACGGTAACCTTCCTAAATCCCTATTATTAATAGGGCTTTTTTATTCTTTCTAATGTACTGTTCAAAAGACAGCTCGGGGCTTTCTCCATTTTGGGTAATGCTAACTGTGCTTGTGAGTTGTATCATCCCACTGCCACTGTAAATTACTGCAGGAAAAAGGAAGTACAGCAGTGACAGAAAGAAGAACAGCATGAGGCAGTGTGCTCACCCTCCCAGAAGGTGGAATGAGCCACTTGCGGGATAACTGTGCTCACACAGATTGCACACTGCAGGGTACTAGAAAGGCTCTAAAGGACAAGTTGGTAGCTGCCGATTCTTTGCTTCTGTAGTTGAAAGACTGGGTGTAGGTAGGTGAAACGGCATGGTAGAAAAGCAGAGCAGCTGGCATCAGAATGAGCCTGACTGTGGAAATGCTTTCCTTTTTCTTGCTGTTCTGTACAGGTTCAATTCCTTTGTGTTCTGTGGCTTTGCCTCCATTGCGTTGGATAATAATGACCTTAAAGCGCTATAAAGTAACAAAGGGAGAAAAACATCAAACCCCTACTCTTGCACATGGTGAGGTTTCCAGTCTCTGAGAGTCTGTGGTCAGCTGCCTTTTTCCAATAAGGATTAAGGTGCTGATGAGACTGCTGACCTGCAATAGGAAACTACATAAAATGGTTGTGTGAATAGCACTGAAAGGGAATAATGCTGCTGGGAGACTGTAATGGATTATGCTAGGGAACAGTCCTGAAATCATGCCATGCAGTTTTCTTTGAGAAAGAAGTATTACCAAGGATGCTCTGAATGTGGCACAGCATGTTCTAGTGACTGCTGCAGTGGTGCTGATGTGAGACCCCACATTCAGCTCAGCATGACTGAACTCCTTAGTAAAGCCTTGGATGGCTGGAATGGTGAAGGAGTGAAGTGTAAGTGCAGAGCCCTTTTGCCATTACATCTTTCCATCTAGTGTGTTACTTAACTCATTTGCATAGGAGCTTGTAAGACTTCTGTTGAAGGGAATACTCTGCTACTGTCCAAGTTGTCAGAATAAAATGTCTTACCTTGCTGCTGGTTGGCATTTTGTTATTTTTTTGGGTTTTTTTAAGAAAAAAAGAAGTATGAATTTAAATGCTTAGAACTACCATTTTGTGATACCTACTAGTAGTGTGATAACTGATGCAGGTTACGGTCTGAACTTCGGCATGCATCCCAGCAAAGATTACAGGCATTCTGAAGCACATGCAACATCCACATTAGCATTGGAAAATATTCTTTTGCATATCAGTAGTAAAGTTTATGATACACAAAATACAGCAACTGGACATACTAAACAGGTTCAGCAAACTTACCAAATAGGTACATTTTTGATAAGTGTACCAACAGTATGTTTGACAGTTTAGTCTTACTCACCATATCCTTTATCTTTTGAAAAATTTAAGGCTGTAGGGTGAACCTGGAGAGAGGAATGATACTGACTGCTGGGGAGAGCAATGCCACAAGTATTGAAAGTCTCGTTGGTTTGAGACTGCTGACAGAATTATCGTTGGGCTGTAGTATGTGTAGCATTAGTTCCTCAGACCTTGGAGGAGAGGGACTGGCCAGCTGCAGTCAAGTGTACAAAATGTTGTTCAAGCCTTGGGCAAAACCCACCACAGTAAGAACACCTGAGTCTTACTGGGCTACCTTATCTTCAGCACAATGAACTGAAAAGCCATGATTTTTCACATACCTTATATCCTTCCCTTTTCTGAAATGACTTAGCATCTGCCATTTCTACTGAAAAAGGGAATTGCTGCCAGTGCCAGAGAAGATTTGGAATATGTCATTGGTTAGCTTCAGTATTCTGAATTAGAAAAACCAGTAAAAGCACAGTAAAGCAGGAAAATTTAGTTATCAGTTTAAATGTAAGATTTGTGGATCTTTTAGTGGATCAAAAGCAGTATCAGCAATATAATTAGATTAATTTTTTAGGTAGGTGGGAGTATTTTGTTTAAATAAATTTGCTGATTGTACTGAAAGAGGGGAGAACGTTTATCTGAAATACTTACAAAATTATATAGGCATGAACAAGTGAATATGGGCTGTAATATTTTAATATAGATAGGACTAGTGAAAGAGTTACAGCACAGCTAATCAGCTTAACTCTGTGTTTTTAACAGCTCTTTGTAGCCACAATGGCAACATCATCTGAAGAAGTGTTGCTGATAGTGAAGAAGGTGCGGCAGAAGAAGCAGGATGGGGCCCTGTACCTGATGGCTGAACGCATTGCCTGGGCACCCGAGGGCAAGGACCGCTTCACCATCAGCCACATGTATGCAGACATCAAATGTGAGTGAGCACTTGCCTGCTGCACTCAGCACTGCTGCCATGGATGCCTAAATCACACAAAACTCACCTGCCATACAGTGCTACCTATAGCTGCCTCAGGAAGCTTGCAAGGGTCTGTAGCAGCAGAGATCGGGACTGTGGTGAAGTATCACCAGCTTAAGGATGCTACCACAGAACTTTTACAGTCTTCAGATGTTTAACTTATGCTGCATTTACTATTAACTTTGATAAACTTCTGCAATAAATCGAACAGAAAAATAATCTATGCCATATGCTTGTAGAGGGGAGGGTGGGAGGAGGATCAAGGAAGCATATAGGATTTTCATCCTAACTCAGAAACTATCTGGCACGTCATCTGTTTAACTCAGTATCTAAAGCTGTTTCAGTTTTCATATAAAATGAACTCTGTTTCATTTTCATTCAACAGACCATAGCTTCAGAAGTGTCAGCTTGTGTAGTTTGGCCTAGCTGGTAACATTCTGAACAAGCATTTGCTGTTGCAACAGCAGAGTACTTGCAAGTCAAAACTAAACAGTAGATGTCTATAGTATGCTGCCTTTCTGGCTCCAGTTAGTACTCATATTTCATGTGATCTAATGCCAAAGAAGGAATAAAAAGTAAGTTGTATGTGTCACTTGGTAATTGTTTAGTGATTATTGCTGTTTAAAGTCACATACAAGCACTGCAGCATAATCAAAAGTGTGTGATGAATGATGAATTTTCTTAAATATGAAAGTGATAAGAAGTTTAAAAGCCCCATTCGCCTATAATAATCAACTTTGTGAAGGTTTGATTTGTCCATTAACTTACACTGAAGCACCTTGTATTTTAAATATGTACATGTATAGCCATTGAAGTATTTTTAATTTAAATGAAAGATGTGCTTTTTGTCATCTGAAACAAAAAAAGGGAGAGATGTATTTGTAAATTTGAAATAGAGAAGGTGATGACATCTGGTTCCCACTTGCTTTAGAGAAAGGTCTGATATTAGAAGTTAGGTTAGTGCCATTTGCAGTGCTTCACTAAAGTCACTATAGCACAACAATCCATAAGCATACGTGTCCCAGTCTCTGCTCCCTCTGGTTATGAGGATGGAAGCAGGAATTAGATTTTTCTTATGAGTCATGAGAGTGTAGTAGTACCTTGGAGGCATTGGTGATTAACTTGGGGAGCACTAGTGGCTAACTGCACTTAGCTCACCACTGGAAACTGGGATTCAGGTGTGCTCCTACTCACCCTACCTCTGCTTTCCTACCACTGTCCTGCAGGAGTTGGGCCAGCTGGAAAAACAAAAGGGGATGCTTTTCAGTGGATCAGTTCTGTGGTTCTTGCTGCACAAACACTAGCAATCATACAAGAAATGCAGCAGGAATAAGTGGAAAGGGATAATGAGGTCACCTTTCAGCAGGAGCCTGCATTGCTTCCACGTTAAAGTGTCCAGGTGATGACAGCCTCATTTGCAGCAGTTTTCTAATGGATGCTGTGGGGAATGAAAGATGAATCAGGACTCCTGAGCAGGAACTGAAGGATATTAAGCAACAGGCTGCTATAGTCTGTGTCTTGTATTTTAGAGTGAAAAAGGTGCAGGGTTCAAACTAACTCAAGGGGAAGACTGACTGTTCCATTTTCACAGCTGCAATTCACATGCAGGATAATGGTATTTAATTGGATGATGAGAATAACTGCTTATAAGTAAATACTCCAGGGATGACAGTTCCTTGTATAAGCTTACTGTCTGTCTCTCTGCAATCTAGGCCAGAAAATCAGTCCAGAAGGCAAAGCTAAAATTCAGCTGCAGCTGGTATTGCATGCAGGGGACACAACCAACTTCCACTTCTCCAATGAAAGCACAGCAGTGAAGGAACGAGATGCGGTCAAGGATCTTCTTCAACAGCTC